TGATCAATTTCAGTTCACAATTGATCATAATGAAAGGACTAAGAGTCAAAGAGATCACATAAACAAGTCTAGTATCTGCTAACACTAACCGATAGAATAAATAAAGGGGAGAGTGATCCAACATGGGAAGTGAGATACTCAGCAGACTCATAGAATGGCGGATGTCCTAAATAGCACTCTGGCCTCAGAATCAGCCCTAAAGGCACTCGGATCTGGCTGAAAAGCCCATGAGAGTATTTCAGGCATGGAAAGCCAAGACACTCTGGCAAAAAGATCTCTGTGAGTGAGATCCCAGTGGAAAGAACAGGTCTTCAAAGAGGGAGGTGCCTTTCTCTGAAGGGAGGAGAGAACCTCCACTTTGACTATGACCTTGTCTAAACAAGATAAGAGTCGGAGAACTCAAGGGGCTTCCATAGCCTTGGAAACTCATGACTGGTGCATAGGGAGATTACTGATGCCATAAACAGGAGTGTCAATTTGTAAAGTCAACAACAGGAGTCACTGTGCACTTACTCCTCATGTAGGATCTCTGTCCTTAATGTGCTATACACTGAGGCTTAATGCTATAACGAGTACTCAAACAGTATATTTCACTTTGTGTTTCTATGGGGGTGCAAACGATTGAAATCTTTACTTAATGTACACTAAACTGATCTTCTGTAAAAAAAAAAAAAAGAAAAAAAAAAAGAAATTATCAATTCCCAACTTGACTCTCACTGGGATTAAACATGACAAGAGGTCTGATCTGATTTCATCATCATTTAAAAAAAAATCATCTATTATTTTTCACTTTATGTTTCTGTGTGGGAGCAAACTGTTGAAATCCTTACTTAAGGTATACTAAGCTGATCTTCTGTATATTAAGATAATCGAAAATGAATCTTGATGTGAATGGAAGGGGAGAGGGAGTGGGAAAGGGGAGGGTTGTGGGTGGGAGGGACGGTATGGGGGGGGAAGCCATTGTAACCCATGAGTCGTACTTTGGAAATTTATATTCATTAAATAAAAGATAAAAAAAAATTGATATTGCCTTGCTTAAGCAAAATTAGGTGTATAACTTTCATTTTCCACTTTAGCAGGGATTTTAAAAGTATAATAACTTGTTCCTTCACAGCACAAAGAAATATTATAGAAAGTTTTCCAGAGAAGAGAACTCTAAGTTGCTTTTATTAAGTTGTTTTATCATGACATATATGTATATCAGCATAATAAAAATATTATATGTCAAATGTTAAAAAAATAATCCATTTTATATTTATTTTCATTTAGTTACAAGGCACAGAGAGACAGATGGAGAGAAATCTTCTGTCTGCTTGTTCACTCCCTAAATGTCCACAACAGCCAGGGCTGCGCCAGGCTGAAGCCAGGAGCCCTGAATTCCTTCCAGGTCTCCCACGCAGGTGTCAGGAACCCAGTCATCTAATGCCCCAGAATGTGCATGAACAGGAAGCTGGCTAGGAAGCTGAGTTGGTGGGAGTGGAAGCAGCCCTCCACAGGGGGTGCAGGCCTCCCAAGCAGGACCACCCCTCAGCTAGCCTTTGCATAGTCTGGTTCTGATGTCCTGCCTTTCAAATGAATAAATAAATAAATATTAAAAAAAAAAACCCACCTGCCTCCAATGTTAAGTCCCAGTGAGAATTTTTTAAAAGTCCAAATGTTAGAAACAGACTTGGCTCTGCTCATCTCTGTGCGTTTTGCCTCCTCATTCTCTCAGCAGTGTCTTGTGAAGAGCAGACGCTTAAAATTCTGATCAGGTCGTCAAGTTTTTTTCATTTGCAGATTATGTTTCTGGTGTCATTTCTAAAATATCATTTCCGTATCCAAGTTTACAGAGATTTTTCTCTTCTAGAAGTTTTATGATTTTGGGCTTATATTTTGGCTTCTGAGCTATTTTGAGGTAAATATTGCACAGCACGTGCCATGTGGGTTGAAGTTCATTATTTTTCATGGGGATGTCAACAGTTAATCAAGTACCATTGAGTTGTTTTTGGATACTTGTGAAAAATAAGTTGACCATATTTTTGTACTTTTTTTTCTCGAGTCTTTGTCTGGTTGATATATGTGTGTGTCTCTCCACCAAAATCTCACATTTTGATGACTGTATCTTTATAGTAAGTCTGGAAATCAGGTAGTCTGAACTCTCCAATTTTGTTCATCTTCCTCAAAATTGTTTTTGCTATTCTAGTTCCTTTGCTTTTCTATATAAATTTTAGAATAAAATTGTTGGTTTCTACAAAAAATACTACTGACAGTTTTGTTGGAATTGTATTGAATTTATACTTGGGAGAGACAACTTAACAATATTGAGTCTTTCTGTCCATGAATTCAGTATTCGTTTCCATTTATCTGTGCCACCTTTGACTTCTGCATCAGCGTTTGCAGTTTCCAACATCCAAATGGCTCACGTATTTTTTCCCAAGGGTTCCATGTCTTTGGGCTCTATTGTAAATGTTTGTAAAGTTTGAAGTTGGGAAGGCTAAGTCCTCCCGTGTTGCTCTTTGTTCAGAGTTGTTTGGGTTATTCTGGGCCCCTTGTTTTTCGCATGCATTACCTCTCAGCTTTCTGAAAAACATCTGCTGGGATGTTGATAGGAGTGCTGTTGAATCTACAGACCAGTTTAAGTGAGAATTGCTATCTTAAGAATATTGCATTTCCAAAGCCATGAATATGGAAGCGCTCTCCATTTATTTAGGCCCTTGTACATTTTTTTGTGAGCAGTTTTTGTAGTTTTGAGTTTACAAGTCTTATTTTCTTTTAATAAATTTATTCCTAAGTATTTTATTCTTTTTGACACTCTTGAGAACAGACTGTTTTTCTTGACTTCATTTTCAGATTGTTCATTTCTGGTATATAGAATATGATTGATTTTTGTATATTGATCTTCTATTTCCTCTTGAGTGAGCTTTGGAAGTTTGTGAATTTGTCCAATTCACGTAACTGATGAAATTTATTGGCACAAAATTCCCAATGTGTGCAGTATCTGTGGTGGTGTCACCTCTTTAATTCTTGATATTAATTATTTCTGTCTTTTTTTGTTGATCATTTTGGCTAAGGGCTTATTAAATTTATTGATCTTTTAAAAGAACCAATTTTCGGTTTCATTTATTTTTTTCTCTACTGTTTCCTGTTTTCAATTTATTGATATGATCTTTCATATTTCCTTCTTTCTGCTTGCCGTGGGTTTAATTTTTTTTTTCTAGCTTCTTAAGGTAGAAGCTGAGGCTATTATTTGAGAACTTTCTTGTTTCCTATCAGGAGCATTTAATAATATAGAGTTCTCTCTAAACGATGTTTTGCCTATGTCCCATAGACTTTGGTATGCTGTGTTTTATTTTTTAAATTTTTTATCATCCCTTCCTTTTTGACTCACGGGTTTCTTAGAATTCTGCAGTTGAATTTCCAAGTATTTGAATATTTTCTAGATACCTTCATGGTATTGACTTTCAGTGTAATTCCATCATGCGTGTATAATATATTTTGTATTATTTCAATGCTTTTTAAAAATATTTTTTATTTGGAAGTCAGAGTTACACACACAGAGAAGGAGAAGCAGAGAAAGAGAGAGAGAGGGAGAGAGGGAGGGAGGGGGAGAGAGAGAGAGAGAGAGAGAGAGAAAGTCTTCCATTCGCTGGTTCACTCCTCAACTGGCTGCATAAGCCAGGAGCCAGGAGCTTCTTCTGGGTCTCCCACATGGGTACAGGGGCCCAAGCACTTGGGCATCTTCCACTGCTTTCCCAGGCCATAGCAGAGAGCTGGATCAGAAGTGGAGCAGCCAGGACTCAAACCAGTGCCCACATTGGATGCCGGCACTGCAGGCGGTGGCCTCTCAGTCCTTTTAAGATTCCTTTATTTATTTGAAAGGTGGAGTTGCAGAGGCGGAGGCAGAGAGAGAGGTCTTCCATCTGCTGGTTCACTCCCCAAATGGCTGCAATGGCCGGAGGTAGGCTGATCCAAAGCCAGAAGCCTAGAGCTTCTTCTTGGCCTCCCACCAGGGTGCAGGGGCCTAAGGACCCAGACCATCCTCCACTGAAAGCTGGATGGGAAGTGGAGCAACCAGGACTCGAACCAGCACCTATAAGGAATGTTGGCACTGCCAACAGTGGCTTCAACTGCTACACCACAACACCGGCCCCTTTAAAGATGCTAAAATTTACTTTATGGGCCACGATATTGGTTGAACGGTTCATGTGAACTTGAAAAGTGACGTGTATTCGTTCTGCTGTTGTTGAGTGAAAAATCTCCAGGTGTCAATTAGATCAACTTGGTCGATGGCACTGTGTATCTTTACTGATTTTCTGTCTACTTCTTCCATCAATTACTACGAGAAAAATGGCGAAGTCTCCATGTGAAAACGTGTTTCTCCTTTCAGTTCTGCCAGTTTTTGCCTCGTGTGTTTCGCAGCTCTTCTGTAAAGTACATGTACATTTTGGATGGTTATATCTTTTTGGTGAATCAATTCCTTTAGCATTATGTGAAGTCCCTCTTCACATAATGTATTGCTTTTTTTTAAAAAAAAATATTTATTTATTTGAAAGTCATAGTTACAGGGAGAGAGAGAGACAGAGAGACAGAGAGATCTTCCATCTGCTGGTTCACCCCCTAAATGGCCACAGGAACAGGACTGCTCCAAAGTCAGGTCTCCCGTGTGGGCGGCAGGGGCCCAAACACGGGGCCATCTTTGCTGCTTTTCTCGGGCCAAGAGGAGTGAGCTGCATTGGAAGTGGAGCAACCGGGTGTGCACCGGCATCCATATGGGATATCGGAGTCACAGGTGGCAGCGTTCCCTGCTACACTACAGCACTGGCCCCGATAGTGTGTTTCTTGTGGTGATGTTGATGTGGGAAAGCTTAGAAGACAACTTTAAGTTCACAAGCTGGAAGCCACACCTCCTTCGGTCTGTATTGCCATGTTCATCCACCTGTCAATCAGGGGCCCCTCCTCCAGGAAGTACCGCCTTTACCGCGGCGTGGGGGTGGTACCACGTAAACACTTCCGTTTTCCAAGCATAGAAAGAGCTAGGAAGGCGCGAGGCTCTCGCTCCTCGTGGGCTCCGGGCGAGCGAGCGGAGCTGGGTATGATAATTCCCTTTATTTGGCCCACTCTCCCTCAATAAAGGCCTAATGAGCCTGTGTATTTTCTCCCTTTGTAAATAAAGCTTATCACACTGCGTGGAGATTTTGGGCCTGTGTTTAGAATTCTGTAAGTAAAAGGCAAGAACCTGGAAATTGATTTAAGCCAAACCTAACCCACAACAGGGACTTTATTCAGGCCATTAATGCTGCCTCCTGGGGTGCACATCAGCAGGAAGTTGAAGTCAGGAATCAAGGCCAGGCCTCGGATATGGGACGTGGGCCTCTGAACTGGTGTCTTAACCAGCAGGCCAAATGTCCTCCCCTAAGATAGGTATTTTTAGAGAACCTATGCTTTTTTTTTTTTTTTTAAATCTATATGTCTTTGGTATGTATTTAGACCATTTACACTTAATTTCACGACTGATGTGGTTAGATTAAAATATAGCATCTTGCTGGTTGGGAGTTACTTTTGATGTCGTGTTGTCTTTCCATTACACTCAAATCTGCAGATTTTCCAGATCCTCTCTTCTGAGCTGTGGCAGTCGAGGGGGGTGGGGTGAAGAGCTTACTCCAGTCCTGGAGAGTTGTTGTGCCAGTGGGGTCTCCGCCGAGACCAGTGGCGTTGACTTGCTGCACTGTTGCCTAGGTCTCTGGCAACAGAAGCAGAAACGTTGCAGAGTCACAAAGTCCGTGATGAGTACTGTCTCCTTCACAGGGTGGATGCGTGCAGTTGTTACACCTCCAGCACAAAGTGAGGACAGTGACACTCAGGAGGGCTAAGCAACCCGACCAAGTTACACAGCGGCAGAGCCAAGATCTGAACTCAGGTCTGTCTGAATCCCACGATGAAAATCTTAATGCCTCTGTTGAAATGTAATAGGTAAGTCATTATGAAGGTACGTTCTAGTACTCTTAATCTAAATTGCTATCAGTATGTGCGTCGAGAGATACCTTTTAATTTTTAAATTGTGAGGATCTAGCCTATCAGGGTGAGACATCAAGAACTTGATATTACCTGTTAGATTGGCTATTATCAAAAAGATAAAAGATAGTAAATGATGGAAAGGATATGGAAAAACTGGGATCCTTGCACCCTGTGGGAATGTAAATTGGTATACTTTTTATGGAAAACAGCTCCTCACAAAAATTAAAAATAGGATTACCATGTGATTGAGCATTCCCACTCCTGGGTGTATACCCAAAGAAGTGATATCTGTGTAAAAGGGATACCTGCACTCTTGTGGTCATTGCCCATTTATTCAAGATACAGAAGCAACTTAGATGTGTTTCAGTGGATGAGTGAATAAAGAAAACGTGGTATATATAACAATGGGGTACTATTCAGCCTGAAAAAAAGAAGGAACTTACGTCACCTGTGACAGCATCCTGCACCTGGAGGGCATTATGTTTGGTGAAACAAGCCAGGCGCAGAATGACAAACACGTGTGGCACGACCGCACTCACAGGTGGGACCTAGAACGCTGGCCCTGCAGAAGCGGAGCGGAGAGTGGCGGTGAGGGGGGTTGCAGGGCTGGTTGCTGGGCAGATGCTGTTCAAACGATGTAAAATTTCAGTTGCATTGGAGGATTACATTTCAGGAAATCTATTGTACAACGATAATCAGTAACAATCTATTGTATTTTTGAAAATCACTAGGAGAATAGATTTTGCAATTTGAAAGGTCTTTTACAAAATAGACGTCTATGAGGTAATACCTCTGCTAATGAACTATAGCACAAAAGATGCAAGTTTTAGAACATCGAGTTGTACACAGTAATGTGTGCAGTCTTTTCTTGTCCATTTCAAAGATAAATTAAACACATTAGAAAAGGGACTTGATAGTATTTTGTTTGCCTTAACTAGAAGCTTCGTCCTTTATGGGAGACCAGGAAGCAGCGCAGTTGAAATCTGTCAGCTTGTCCTGATGAATTGGCCAAGGGACACGTGTGCTCAATTGCGCATTTCTTGGGTTTGGAGAGAAGCGGGGTACAGATGAGTGCCTCTGTGGAGACAGGAGCTCCCTAAATAAAGATAGCGGCTGTGAAGCAGAGTGATCCTGACATCTGCTAACTGGATAAGTACACTTCCTCCACCGCTCACTGTCGGGCTCCTGTTCCACCCTGTGGAATCTCCCTTTAGCCAGTTCCCGATCCAATGGTGAACCTATTGCAGAAATAAATTATGGGGAAGCACGTCCATTGCTACTTCCCTAATTCAGAAAAATCAAGCTCTTTTTCTGTTCTACACTGTTTCCTGTCATGCATAATATAGCAAATTAATTAGTGGATCTGGAGGCGTTTTGCTAATACAATTTCTCTCCCTTGCTTGAGGTGAATTATATTCATGCTTCAGTCACTTGAATATTACTCTTCATGTTTGACGGAATTATGTTATCAGGTGATGATTATATTGCACACTATCTGATTCTAATTAAACCAGAAAATAGCGACATTGTAAAAGGAGCATGTTTCATGGTCTGCACTCCCCACCCCCTCGCTGCTCCATCCGGTTTTTAAAGCTTTCTGAGCTGTGCTTGGGTTGTTTTCTGACACTTATATCTTCTTTCTTTTCTCCCATCACAATGCCTTCTTGGGTCCGCTTCCTCTAATGGGTAATTTGTACAAATTGAGTCTTAGAGAGACATAATGTTTACACTTGCCTTTTTTTTTTTTTCTATTGGAAGCACTGTGTTTAGGAGTGACTGATTATTTCAGGTGATAGCAAAGAAGAAAATGTGTTGTTTTATCAAAATCATCCACATACCTTGAGAAAAAAGCCCCTTGCCCAAGAGAAGAGAAACTCTGATTTATTTCCTCCCTCCTTCCCTCCATCCCTCTTTCCTCCCTCCCTCCCTTCCTTCATTCTTTTCTTCTGTTCTTCCTTTCACTTATTTGAGTGGCAGAGCTATAGAGAGAGGGAGGGACAGGTCTTCCACCCACTAGTTCACTCCCCAGGTGGCCACAATATCTGGAGCTGTGCTAATATGAAACCAAGAGCCAGGAGCTTCTTCCAGGTCTCCCATGTGGGTGCAGGGGCCCAAGCACTTGGGCCAGCTTCCTCTGCTTTCCCAGGCCATCAGCAGGGAAGTTGATTGGAAGTGGATCAGCTGGGACTCGAACTGGAACCTGTATGGTATGCTGGCACCATAGGTGGGGGCTTACCCTGCTAGACCCCAGTGCTGGCCCTGAGACTCGGGTTCTCGAGGTGAGAGAGAACCAAGGTGTGGAGACAGGATACAAGGTAAGCAGGGCTGCGGAATTCAGGCCGCTGGGGTGTGAGCCTCAAGTCCTGGGTTCCAATTCTGGCTCTGCCTTCCTCTGCTGTTGTTTCTCTCGCCGTATACAGCAGGACGTGCTCCGTGCAAGTGAGGTCTGGGAGAGTTCATTGGCTTTATGAAGTCATGGGGAAGGCAAGGCTGGAACTCCCCTTCCAGCTCTCCTCCTCCTATGGCGGTGAGTGAAAGGCCAAGCCCTCAACCACGAGGGTGGAGCTCTGGAGACATCACGTAGGGGAGGTCACTGGGTATCACCGCGTCTTTTCTCACAAGGATAACGTTGTGCCTTTGAGTTAGACTCCACTCACCCTCCTTGGGGCTGCTGATGGTGTGAGGAGCTTTCTAAAGTGTGAGGTGAAACCGGCAGCGTGCTGCAAATGAAAGGCACTTTCATGGTCGGCTGAAAGAAAAATACAGTCCACTACCTTAAACTGAGCAGCTCAAGTGCAAGGTAGAGCCCAGTGTGGTCTGTGGGCTTTGATCGTTGGTCCTTATTCACCGAGTGGTAAAGCTGGGAGAATGAGTTGCAGCACGGGTCTGGCTCCTGTTGGGATAATATTCCTCAGAACACGGGCCTGCTCATTTTCCAAACTGTTTTCCTGTTGGAAGAACGGACTCTTGCCTGCAGTAACAAATTGTGTAATTCAAGTCAGCCTGGTGACTTTCCTCGCGGATTTTTATCTTCCTGCGCGAGGGCAGTGGGGGCCGCCTGTTCGTTGTCACATTACTCCTTGCCTGTGTGAACAGGTGCGTGCCTGACTGCTCAGGAAGAAGGATTTGTGGGAAGAAAGCTCCGTTGTTGGGCTCCACGTAGGACCTAGAAAGTGGCAGAAACAGTTTTTCTTTTCTGAATTTTGGCTGTGGAAAGAGGCAAGGACAAGCCACGGACAGAGCTATTTAACATATATTTATTAAGCAATTATTATATTCCAGATCTTACTTTTGGTGCTGGGGGTAGAAGAGTGAACAAAATTCCTTACCTTGGGGATTTAGGAGCAGGCATTTAATAGGGTGCGGTGAGAAGGCCCTGGGATTGGGGGCTCCAGTTCTGGCTTCTTTACTGGTTCGTGGTCTAGTGGGGAGAGAAATAGCGAGCCAGATGAGAGGAACATATACAGAGTACTGGAAAGTGATAAACTCAGGGAAATAATTGAGCAAAGGATGGAGATACGGAAAGCTGAGAGGGTGCGGAGAAGGGGGGGGTCTCTTGGAGAAGGGGACTTTGGGGCAAAGACTTGAAGAGGCAGGAGGGTGAGCCATGAGGATGTCTGTAGGGATAACATTCCAGGAAGCCAAACCAACAAGTGCAAAGTTCTGGAGGTGCTGTGTCTCCGGTGTGTCTGAGGAAGGGCCGAGTGGCCAGGGGCACCAAGGTGGTGGTTGGTGGTGGTGTGGTGGGAAATCAGGTCCTCTTAAAGCTTGTGGTTTTTTCATGGATGGCTGCGAGCAAGAGCGGAGGAGGAGGTTCAGGTTACTCAGAAGGGCTCACTAGTCAGAGTGGGCGCTCTGCTGGGTCCAAGGACAGGGAGGGTGAGCCTGCCCTCATGGACCAAGGAGTCTATTCAGGATGGGACATTAACCCACATGGAACCTCAGAGGACAGGGAGGTCCAGGCATAGTCATATGGATCTCTCAAGAGAGGGAGAAAGCTCTAGAGAACTGGATGAAAGCAAAGGTTCTGGAAACACAGTATTAGTGCTATGATCTTGGGTGGGACACTGCATTGTCTGAGGGTCAGTTTTACATCTATAAAATGGAACATACTTTGCAGGGTTGTGTGAGGATAGCATGTGCAACATGCTTTAGCAAACACAGAATACACAGTAAGGCCTCAGTACATCGTAGCTGACATGATTGTTTTATTGTATTATCAGAGTGGTTAGGAGAGGATTCTGCCAAGTTTGACTCCGGAGTAAGTGAGGTGCTATGGACAAGGTGGCCCTCAGGGTAAGGGGACTATATGAACAAACATATCATTATGGAGATAAGCAAAGGCAGTCATTACAGTGGTCATAGTTAATAGAGTAGCAACAATAAAAATGGTGATTTATTGAGTGCGCACATGATCTCACTTAGGACTCACTGTAGTCCTGTAAAGTAGGTGTTCAGATGATCTTTGGCTGCTGGGAAAGCTAAGGCTCAGAGACATGAAGTGATTTTCTGAAGGTCACACAGCTCGCGAGAGGCAGATAGGTGGCTCAACACCAGGGAGTTTCCACTTCACTCCGCCTTCACTTCTCTTTGGTATTGTCTGTGGGGCTCGGTTGAGACAGAGACGGGTTTTGGTCTGAGGGACATCGTAAGGAAAATCCAGCAGATAAGAATAAAGGAGCAGTGGTTGTGTCTTTATGAGCAGCATATTGAACTGGGGCTATTCCTGCCCTCCTGGTCCTGTAGAGATAGAGATTGAGTTCTTTCTTTCTTTCTTTCTTTTTTTAATCTTTACCCTTCTTTCTCTGTTTGAAAGCAGTTTTATTTTTGTAAGATTTATTTATTTGAAGGCAGAGTTAGAGAAGGGGACACAGATCTTTTATCTGATGATTCACTTTTTTTAAAAAAAAGATTTATTTATTTCACTTGAAAGTCAGAGTTACACAGATAGAAGG